CTTGAACACAGGAGGCAGAGGTTGCAGTGAGCCTAGATCATGCCATTGCACTCCAGCCTGGGCAACAGAGTGAGACTATGTCACCAGATGTTGCAGGAGAAATTCCTCTCGTGGAAGACCCCAGGAAAGGACATTTCAAGGAGGAGGGATCAGTCAACTGAGAGATGGAGGGTGAAGAGTTGGGAGAGGCCACATTTGAAGCACGGGAAGCCCTCCTGATGTATTGAGTGCCTACTGTGTGCCAGGGAAGGTGCTGGGTTATTGAGGGGAATAAGGGGAAGGCGGCCTGGGAAGGATGTGGGAGGGGCGGCCCAGGCAGAGGGAGTAGCAGGAAGCCAGGCCTGGGGAAGGGAGGAGCCCCAGATGCAGCTGGACAGCATCTGTCCCGGAGGGGGACAAAAAAGCTCCCAATGCCTGGGGCCTGACAGGTCAGCCCTGGGCTCATGTGCAATGGGAGACCTGCAGAGGGCTCAGGAAGGGAGGGATTTCTTCTCTAGTAATAAACTCACTTCAGCTGTGGCTACTGCATGGAAATGGCTTGAGAGAGGCAAGACCAGAAACACCAGCTAGGAGGCTGCGACTGCTGTCCAGGCTGGGGGTGACAGAGTGCCTGGGGACCACAGCACAGCAGGAGGGATTTCTAGGTAAGAGGAAGCCAAGGGGGACATGAGGGGTGAGTCAAGGGGGACACGGAGTCACTGGAGAGGTTGGGGAAATGGTAGAAAGAACTTGAGCAGCTGGGCGCGGTGGCTCACACCTATAATCCCAGCACTTTGGGAGGCCGAGGTAGGTGGATCACCTGAGGCCAGGAGTTAGAGACCAGCCTGGCCAACATGGAGAAACCGCGTCTGTACTAAAAATACAAAATTAGCCGGGCGTGGTGACATATGCCTGTAATCCCAGCTACTTGGGAGGCTGAGGCAAGAGAATTGCTTGAACCCAGGAGGCAGAGATTGTGCCATTGCACTCCAGCCTGGGCAACAAGAGTGAAACTCTGTCTCAGAAAAACAAAACAAAACAAAAAACTTGAGCAGTGGTGGACAGGAGATCCCAGCATGTGGCACAGGGTAAGGAGAGGCGCGGCCAGGGTCGGGCCATGGGCGGCCCCTCAGAGCTGGGGTCTCAGGCCAGAGACAGTCCTTCCAGGATAAAGGGACATCAGAGGTTTCTGCAGGATGCGGAGGAGGAAAGCCTGTGGGGCCCTTTGAGGCTCTGCAGAGAGAACTCTGGATCCAGCTGCCTCCTTCCTCAGGAAGGCTGGGGGCAGCAGGGCCCAGAGAGCCTGGCGACACCTTTCCTTCCCCCTGGTCACCTCCCTCAGCCCTGCAGGAGCTGCTGGGACAGGGGCTGGAAGCAAGCAGGGCCCCTCAGAATGACCAGGGCCACCAAAGGTGACTGTCAGGGTCGCTGTCCAGCTGTTTCCCCGGCTGGGCTCTAGGTTGGAGCCAAGGAGGGCTTGCTCCGAAACTCAAGAGTGCATCCAATGCTCTGAAAGGGCAGACCAGGGAGGGGCATACTGACCTCCAGCAGTGTTCCTGGTCCCCAAGCCCCCCACACCCTTGAGCACACCCCAGTGTCCCTCCCAGACCGCGGGCTCAGCCCTAGGAGAGCTGCTCAGGGAGCCTCCCTGTGGGTGTTTGCTCCTCCCCAAGCCGTGGCCCATTTCCCCTTCCTCGTTCCTCCTCAGCCCAAAGGCAAGAGTCGTGGAACCCCAGGATAGGATGGGACAGAACAGGACAGGGCCCCCAACCCCATCTTTATCTCACCAGCTGCTGCTGGCTGCCAAGCCTCCCCTGAATGGGGTAGGCTGGTCTGTGTGAGTAAGCAGAGGCAGGAAGTGGAGGACGACGGGAGCCTCTGCAGGGACAGTTGAGCGTGGCCTCCGAAATGGTGAGAAGTGCCCTCCCAGTCATTCCTCCTGGCTGCCCCGGGCTCTGCAACTGCAGGGTGCTGAGGCCTCAGGCCCAGAGATCTGACCCCTGCCTTCTTGCCTCTCCCCTGAAACCAGGGCCTGGTGGGGGACTCCAGAGTCCCCTCTGCCCCAGCCCCTGGGGCCCTTGATCTTAGGAGAAAACCAAGGAGAATTTGTGGCCCCAGCCCTGCCCGGGGGATGAGGACGGAAGAGGGAGTCATGACAAGAAAGATGTGGGGGCCAAAGTCCCCTCACGCCGGGGGCCCAGGGGTGGCGATCAGGGAGCAGTTCTGTGCTTCCAGCTCTGTGATCAAGGACACACCAGGCTGAAATCCTCTAGTCCTCAACCAACCCACTAGGGCACGGAGACCCATGCACCATTATCAGTAAGAAAGTCAGAGGCCTGGCCTTGCTCTTCCACATCTAGAACCTGGGTAGGTCCATCGGAGCCACAGTCTCTGCTGTCACTACTGGGCCCCCTGCCTCCCTGTGCCTGCCTGTCAGAGAAGCCTGGAGATACGCACCTGATTCCATTTAAGCAACTGTTATTTTATTTTATTGTTTTCAGGGGAAAGCATGAGTGCAGTACCCCACTACCACAAATTATGCAGCCGGGTGTCCCACACTTGGGGAAATCACAGGGGTCAGCACATCCGGGGTGCAATTGAGACGGTTTGGCTCTGTGTCCCACCCAAATCTCATCTGGAATTGTAATCCCCACATGTCAAGGGAAGGACGTGGTAGGAGGTGATTGGATCATGGGGGCACTTCCCACCATGCTGTTCTGGTGAAAGCGAGTGAGTTCTCACGAGATCTGATGCTTTTCTTGTTTGTTTTGCTTTGTTTTGTTTTGTTTTGTTTTGAGATGGAGTTTCATTCTTGTTGCTCAAGCTAGAGAGCAATCGTGCAATC